CCCAGCGTCTAGGCAAGTGCTGTGCTATTGAGCTGTACCCCAGCGTCTAGGCAAGTGCTGTGCTATTGAGCTGTGTCTTAGCTCCTTTTTAATATTTATATTGAAACAGTCTCACTAAATTGTCTGTCTCCTCCTAAGCATTGGCAGCAACACATTCAGATGCACAGGATTGCTAGATTCCTAACACTACTGCTGGAGGATTCCTGTGTCTTCTATGTGCTCCAAGTCCATTGTAGTCAGTGAAAATGGCAGTGCGGGTACCAGCTGTTCTACAGTGTATCTGCTGACAGCATCAGCATAGATAGAGTCAGCTCCTGGATCAGCTGCCCAGTGAGCACCTGAAGGTCTGCACACCACTTCCCAACATCCACCTAGTATCACCCACTTAGGTTCACTGCAATGGCTTTCCTAGATGCTCTTGGGAAAGGTGGGGATGGAGGTTCCCTCTTTGGAGCAACAGTGGCCAAGCAGACAATAAGACAACTTGGCAACAGCTTGCCCAATTGTTTGTCCTCCCTCATGAGCAGCCAGGAGCCATCAAAGCCAAACTCCATGGAAACCATATCCTTCCAAGAAAGTATTTCTAGCTAATAGCCAATAGAAAGTACCAAGTCCAGGGCTCTGCTGTGTTCATTCCACTCCAGTCCTCTGTGTCTCTGCCTTCTTAAGCCACCATCCCATAAACAGTCATGGATCAGGGAATGCAGTTTGTTCAGCCAAGCTAACAGTTTGTAAAAGACTCGATTTGACTTGTTAAAAGATGGACCGAGCCTGATAGAAATGAATCCTAGAAGCTAGCCATGGCCACAGCAATAGGATTTGCTATCATGGGATTCATTGGCTTCCTTGTGAAACTGATCCATATCCCTATAAATAACAGTATTGTGTGGAAAAAAAGCCTCGGCAGAGGAGGCCCGGGGGTTTCCTCACTGGCTGATCCCACATCCACGAGAAGGTCTAAGGTTCCAGAGGCTGAAGGCTTTGGCGATGGCAGGCCCCAAAGACACGAGAATGTCCACAGTTCCAAAAGGGTTTATTTTCATGGCGGATGGTGGATGGATCTGGATGTACAACCCCCCCCCCCCAAACTCAGGGCAGTCCCAAGTTAATTAGGGAGGGAGAAAGGGGGAGGTTCTGGGGAACCATGCTTAATTTGCTCTGCCCTTTGGCCTTCATTAGTATGTAAATCCCTAGGGCCTGAGACCTCTAGTCACACCCTCTACCTGTGCACTTTGGGAGAGGCTGTAATGGCCTACATGACTGAACAATGTAGGTCTATGGAGACAAGACAGTGCATCAGGACTCTGGGTTCTGGAGCGTGGCTGAACACCTGCTGTTTCTCACTTAGAGTCTCGGGGTTTCCAGACCCATGCCCAGCCATGAACCAGGATACCTTTACGTAGTCCCACAGTATTATGGGTGGCCGAATACTTTCTCTTCATGAAGCAAAAAAAGCCAGTATACTTAGTGTTTTTATTTCTTTTCTAAGATGTTTTCTATTTCTAAATTAAAATGATTTTTAAAAAGTATCAAGTCTCAGGTTGGGGCAAGACTGAGTATTGCAATAGCAGTCACACTGGTACAGAAGTTATGCTAGACTCATTTATCTAAGCACTGCTCATCCTTGTCAAAATTGAAGTTCCATTTGTCAGCACTCAGCCTTTGTGCTGGCTAATTTATGTCAACTTGACATAAGCTAGAGTCACTGGAGAGGAGGGAACCTTAATCAAGAAAATGCCTCCATAGGCTTGAGCTTATTGGCCTGTAGGCCTGTAGGCCTGTAGGCCATTTGGTTAGTGATTGATGTGGGAGGACCCAGCCAATTTTGCCATCCCTGGGCAGCTGGTCCTGGATTCTTTGGGAAAGCAGGCTGAGCAAGCCAGTAAGCAGCATCCCTCCTTGGCCTCTACATGAGCTCCTGCCTCCAGATTCCTGCCCTATTGACTTCCTTTCATGATGAACACCAATATGGGAATGTAAGCCAAATAAACTCTTTCCTCTCTGAGTTGCTTTGGTTATGGTGTTTCATCACAGCAGAAGTAACCCTAAGACAACCACATCCCCAGGCTCGATATCCTTTTTAGCAGCCCAGCCAGACCACAGGCTAAGCAACATTGCTATACACAGTGTGGGGAGAACTTATCCTCCAGTGCCCTTCTGAATCACAAGCAGACATACACTAAAGAGAAACTTTGTTTTGTAACAGGTGACCTTTTAGTCTATAGAAAACACAGGGTCACCAGTAACTTTGCTTCCCAAGAGAGAAAACTAGCCATAGAGAATTCAGTGGCTCTGTTGGGTACTGATGAAAGGAGTCTCCAAGGTGTTTCTCAAGGAAATCCTGCTGGTTTCAGTGAGCATAGACCCTGCAGTGCACCAAAATGCCATAGCAGTATGGCCAGCATGTCCCAACCTCCTGTGTCACTCGGGCCACTCCGTGGACATACTCTCTCTCCAGAGTGGTCAGCTCACAATCAGTATCAGTTGGCAACTTGGACTGACATTTTGCCAGTTCCTATATTCTCTGAAAGAAAGAGAATTGTGGAAGGAGAGATGCAGTTAGTGTGAGGTCTCTAGATCAGTTTTGCTTTCATGTGTATGCGTGTGCGTGTATGTGGTCTAAGTGTGTAAGAGAGATAGACCGACAAAGAGGGACAATAAATGTACATACGTACTGCAGCACATGTGAGGGTCAGAGGACAAGTGATGGAGTTGGTTCTCACTTTTACGCTAATGGTTTGGAGATGTGTGGCTCTAGCTCAGGCTGTCAGGCTCGCACGGCTAGTATGGTAGTAGCTGAGCCGTTCTACTTGCCCTTGGTGGGGGGTGGGGGGTTAGTTGGTTGGGTTGGTTTGGTTTGGTTTTTGAGACACAGTTACTTTTTGTAACCCTGAGTGTCCTGGAACTCCGTAGAGCAGGCTAGTCTCAACCTCAGAGATCTGCATGCCTCTGTTTCCCTAGTGCTCTGATTAAAGGTGTGGAGTGCTGTCACACCCAGCTACTTTTTAGTTTGGTTTTTTTTTTCCTTAGCAAAATCTTTTATTTGGTTTATATTTAAAATATAATGTAAAAAATTATAAGCTGGAATATTTGATGATATGGGAACACAGAGAAACCAAGTCAAAGAATGATACCCATTTAAAATAAATCCAAAGGCCCAATTAAGCAGATTCCACCATTCTGTATTTAAATGTATCCATCATATCTCAGTTGCCAAAGGTTTGGAAAGACTTGGGCTGAAGGTATGTGCTGAGCTCAGCTGCTTCGGCGGGAGTTCTCACCATCCAGCTCGTGAGAAAGCATTCGAGGCTCTCCTCCTGTTAATGTCTCTCTTGATTTGGCACACAGAGCAAACAGGACAGAAGAGGGTGGTCACATAGTCGTCACAAATAGATCCAGAAATGCCATATTGGGTTCAGTCGAGAGTCCTCATTGCCACCGTTGTTCCACACAAGCAACATTCATTCATGTCAGCTGCCACTTGACATCCAAGACAAGTAAAGCAAAAGGTCCCACAGAGGCAGACTCCACAGTCACTGAAGCAATCACACAGGCTTGTCTGCCAGTTGGAATTTTGGGGAGCACAAACAAATCCAGGTTGAGTCACAACAACTATTGGTGCCTGAACAAACCATCTTCAATGTAAGGTCTTAAAAGACCAGGTAGTTCAAAAGGGCAAGACAGGTCCTATGGTCTTGGGTTGAGCCTTACTACAAAATCTACTTTTCAGTTTTTTAGACCCATCTCCATCTCCTGTTTTCTTTTTTCTTCATTATATGCAAATGAAGTTTGCAGTAGACCAAAGCCTTAGGCAAGCCTACAATTATCTCAATAAATATCTTAACTATGCTGCTTTGGGTTAAAGAACAAAAAAAAAATTGAAAAACCAGTTAAACATATCAAACAAGACAACTTTTTTTTTTAATTTTGGAAAGAAGGGGTTCTTGGAAATTAGCTTTGTTACTTGGAGCAAAGTATATGAAGAAGCTTTGTAGAGTCTAGAGTGCCCAGGGTTGCTCGTGGATGCCGGGGATCTGATTGTAGATCAGCATGCACGTTACTCTCCTCAGCTCCTGGTCGGGTCTTCGTAGCTCTACAGGTTGCTAAGGAAACGACTTCTATGCATATTTGGCAACAAACTCAGATTAGTCTTTACTGACATCTTGATGATCTCACTGTGGTTGTTGACTAAGAATCACTCTCATAGGCGCATTTGATACTTAGTCACCAGGGCGTAGAACTCTTTAGTAGGATTCCAGGAGGTGTGGCCTCCCAGGTGTAGTCACTCAGGGTAGGCTTTGAAGTTTCAAATGCCCATGCCAGACCCAGACTTTCTCTCTTCCTGCTGCCTGTGGGTCAGGATGTGGGACTCTCAGCTGCTTATCCAGCACCATGTCTGCCTGCATGCTGCCATGCTTCCTTCCATAATGATAATGGATTAAGCCTCTGAAACTGTAAGCCAGCCCCATTACATGTTTTCTTTTATACGGGTCACCTTGGTCATGGTGTCTCTTCACAGTAACACAACAGTGACTAAGATTTCTGACCTTATATTTTGTGTACTATAGAAATTTGAAAGAATGTCTTATGTCTTGCTACATTTTTATATAGCTATAAATGCATACTAAGTTATTCAAAAAGGCAAGAGATATAGCTTAGTTAATAGTGTTTATATAAAGCCTTGGATTGAATCCACAATATACCATAAGTCAGGTATACCTATGGTTTCAGTACTTAACACTTAGGAGACAGTGGGTCAAAGAATCAAGGTCATCCTTAGCTATGTAGTAAACTCAAGGCCAGTTTGGGATACATAGGACTCTGTCCAAAAACAAAATAAAAAAATAAAGGTTACTCAATATTTTAATTTTTATTAGTTCTCTGATGTTAGAACCTTTGATTGTAACTGCTGCTTTGCTTATTTCTAAGTTCTATAACTCTGTGCCAAGTGTACTAATAGCTCAGTGTTGTGCCTTTCCTAGAACATACATCCTTGAACTATGCAGGCCACTGCAGCGGTAGAGACAGATTCTGATAGAAACTACCACAAAACTAGAGGACACTTCCAAAATGGTAAGGATGCACTCCTGTTGGCAAAGGGTGCATTTGGTAAACAGAGGTTTCCTTCCAGGTGACTGTTCTAAAGCCTCGAGCAGCAAGCTGAGACAATTCAACACATTTTTAACTTTGCCAAGTCTCTCGTAAGTTTTTGTTAGCTGTGGGCAAATTGCTTTTACTATATAGTGGGAAGGGCAAAAGACACAAACCTTGTAAGTCCATGGAAGACCACTCTGTTTAATCTTAAAATCGTAATATGATAAGATAGTATAAAAAGTTTAAAATGAGCAATACATTAACTCACTTATATCATAAGCAAGACAGATGTCCCAGATGTGTGACAGTAGCTCCTGTGTAATCTGTATTTATTGCAGCTTGCTGAGTGTTTACATGTAGATCTTTTATCATAACTTCAGATTCCCTTTGCCTGGTCTGACCTCTAGCTTCCCCCTCCCCGTCTTACTTTCTCCTCCTCCTCTGCACCTGTCTTCACAGTGCTTCCTCTCTTTAGTGATAAATATTCCAGTTCAGATGGAGTGCCCAGTGACTCTTAGAGTGGTGCTTAAGCAGGTAGTGGCCAATCAGTGGGTCATGAAATAAAGTGAGCTAAGTGTGCTTTTTAGTACAATGAAATAGAAAATTCCAGAATTTATTGGAACAAGGATAGTTACTATTCTATAAGAGTTTTCTGTCACTTCTCCGCACAAAGTGTCTGTTTTCAGTACTCTCTCTAGCCTTACCTCTGTGCTCTTGGTCTACCTGCCATCACTTCCCATGCTTCTTGCTCTCAGGAAGTCTCTACAATTCAATCTCAGTCACATGACCACTACCCTTTAAAGGATTTGCCCTGGTTTTCCCTTTCCTTAGAATAAGAGCCAGATGTCTCAGCACCTTATAAAAGGCCTTACCAGTTCCGTAGACTCCACTCAGCCAGCTCTTCTGCTACTTAGAGCAGGCTGGATTCTTAGTTCCTGCAAGGGCTGGATTCTTAGTTCCTGCACACAGCCAGCTGCACTTGCTGAGGGTTTCCCCAAACTCTGCCCCTCCTTTCTCCTCCAGTTCACCTGTTCCATTAGCATAATGGTCAGTACTTCTCTTTTAACTGTGGTTGATTTTTTTTGTGTGCTTATCTCTGACCCTTAGGAAAGCCATAAGTTGCAAGTATAACACCAGTATCTTCTTGCCTTCATTTACACACTGCATACAACTGACACCAGTAGATAGCCCATAATTTATTAAATGATACTATTTTTTTAAGTTTATTAGGCATATCCACAAGTAAAGTGGCTGCCCTATTAAAAAAGACCTCTCACCATTGAAAGACTTCAGGAAGAATCTTGGCATTATGTCATTTTGGATAGCTGTAAGAAAACACCATCAATTAAGTGGCTTAAACAAGTGCAGATTATTTTCTCATAGTTCTGAGGCCAGAAGTGTGAGGTTCAGATGCCAGGATGGTCAGATCCTCTTGAAGAATCACTTTCTAGCTAGTATATAATGTGTCTTAATGTAGTGTGTAACAGTAAAAGAGAAGCTCTCTGTTGCATTTAGAGGAGTAATCCTATCCTGTGGCGTACAGCCTCGCCGATAAGGAGAACGCCACACTCAGGATTCTTCTGACAGCAATTTATTGTACAGCTCTTTAGATGGCAGTGAAGCGAGGGACCCCAAACCCAAAAAACCTGTGGCTTATATAGAGCCCTAGGAGACGTGTCACACACTCATTGGCTCTCACGACATCGCCAAATGAGCATACTGGTTTTCGAGCCTTGCGCAGGCGCACATTCAAGCAAGGCTCTCAAGAAGAACCAGGAAGCAGGAAACCGCCGCCATGTTGCAATGGCGAACGCGGCTCCTAACACTATCCTGAGGGCCCACCCTCATGACCTCATCTAATCCTGAGTATCTCTTGTGGCCCACCTTTAATAACCATCACAGTGGGGTTAGGGCTGTAGCATGCTTGCTTAGGAGATGGGTTTTAATTTGTTTGAGTTGCTACAAACCACATTTGTGTTTGTTGTTGATGATGTAGAAGTAGTTCAGGACTTGGAGGAGCTGGGACCAGACTATGTCTAGTCTTTCCCAGGTTCAATAGTATTGTTAACATACTCTCTGTTTTACTGTTTTGAACAGACAAACTTTATAATCCTCAGAAAGAAAATATGTTATTTACCAACGGTTACAGCGAAGTTAAATTGACCTTTCCTAATGGTGAAGGGGACTCCTTGGCAACAGAAGAAAGAGCTAGTGACAAAGAGGATGGCAGTGTTAACCAGAGAGATTTATCAGAAAGTCAAGATACTAATGTAGAGAATATTTTCTCCCAGTCAAGTGAATTTGAAGACAGTTTTGACTATGCTTTTTTGAATGAGACCTATTCTATCCATTATTCAGAATCAAAACTGAAGGATGAAAATCTTTTGCATTTATATTCAGAATTACATCCTGAGGTACACAAAAGAGTAGAGATGTTTTTTGACACTTCAGGACCTCAAGATAATAATAGCATTGGATTGAGACAGAGCCCTGAGGCTTCAGGTGCTGACTATGCAGACATGCAGAAGAGTGACATGGACGAGGACTCGCAGCAGGAGTACTACAGTGCAGAGCTGGAGTACATAAGTGCACACTTGTCGTTCAACCCAGCAAAGACAGTGAGCAGGTCCAGTCTGGGTATTAGTGAGTTGAAAACATCAAGCCATGGCTTTAAATGTGGTGACAATTTAGAAGATAATCATAGTAAATTAGAGAGTGGTCCTAGCCCCTCTTTGGAGTCACTTAATGGTTTTGCACAAGAACGTTCACCTCAAGTCTCTATATCTCAGAGTTCTGATATGTTAAAAGAATATCATGAGCAGAAATATGAAAAATACAAGGAACAAGAAGTTGGTTTAACGTATCATAAAGCATTTGATGATGTTTTACAGAAAAGAAGTTCTCCCTTTAACCCCCAGAAAGTACCTGAAACTCAAGTATATACTAAAGAAATGAAATCTCAGACAATTGAAAGTAAAAACTTTTATGGAAATAGAATTTTCCAGAACAAAGCATCACAGCACCCTGAGAATGCCATCATGTTTCCCCAAGAGCAAGCCCTCGAGACACACTTGAAGGCTAATGGTGCTCACCAGCCTTCTGGGCCTTACATTCTAGATGATTCAGTCATTTCTCTCTGTGGCTCTTTGCAATACAAAAGCCTCCCTGAGCCAGGCTTTTTCTGTCCTGTGATACCACGGGTGGCAGTCACAGACAATCAGGCAGAAGTAGAAGGCAGCTGCCTACACCATGTACAAGGCAGTGCCACAAGTAAAACATGCTCTCTGATGAAAGAAATGTGTCTTACGTCAGTGCCAGAAGTTCAGCAGACACTGGGTGTGGGCAGCAGAGCAAATGTAAACTCTTCTGTAGTGTCTACATCAAGCAACACAGAGACAAAGATGGTGAGGCAGAGTCAACCTGAGGAGTGGCAAAGTGACAAACAAAGCGTGGCCTGTAACACCGACTGGTCATGTGGACAGCAGTGCAGAGATGCACAGCCAGCTGCCCCAGGAAGTGACTCCGGAAGGCTATTCTCAGCTGGCTGCTTAAAGCCTAGTGGGAACTCCCTGAATGAGGTAAAATCCATAGTGTCAAACTTTTCATCTACTCTACAGATTTTAAAAGTTAGGCAAATATGGTTGAGTTCCTTTTATTGAGGTCTCAGGGAGAGATGCTAGCTCAAGGGTTGGGTGATAGGTGCTACATCTCTAGCTTCTGGTGGTAGACATTGTCACAAAATTGCTTTGAAGATTTTACATCTTGGAACTCCATGTATGGCATTCGTTTTTTGTTATGTATTTGTAATTTTATATTGTTTTCAGAACTCCTTGGAATTGAGAAAAATATTTGATGCCACAGACAGACAGAAACATCCTGAGAGGTAGGTCAGTTGTATAAGTTCACACATGTATATGAGAAAGAAAAGCTCGAGACTGCTTTGTTTTCTGTGTAGCATATTTAAACATGTAGAATTAAAGGGACCTTAAGAAATTTTACATTTTGGCCATTCCTTCTAGCAGACAGATAGGGAGCAACATAGAGTGTCAGCGCTCACCATGAAGAGCCTGCCGCCCTCCCTCCCTCCCTTGGGCCTCATCTGGACGCACTTCCCTTCTTTCTTTTGAATAGTTTGAACATAGATTATATAAACTAGCACCTTCAGGGGAATGCCGTGTATTTGAAAAGACACATAGCTGCACGGTGAAGTGTTTTAAACTGTCATCGTTGACTTTATTTTGCATTTATTAATAATCCAAAAGACAGTTGGAGTCGTAAAGTGAGAGTGAGAGAAACGAAAGCCATATTGCCATACTCTGAAGTCATGGGCCTTTATTTTTCTAATGACTAGTCTGATATCCCAAAACTATAACATTTAAAACTTAAACTTCCAAAACAGTGGTAGATAGGAACTGGTAGTTGAGGGAACCTCTAAAAACTTTTTTTTTTTTTTTTTTTGGTTTTTTTTTTTTTTTTTTTTTTTGAGACAGGGTTTCTCTGTGTAGCCCTGGCTGTCCTGGAACTCACTCTGTAGACCAG